TCTCTCCCGCGATGTAAATTATACATCTGAATTATTTATCACAAGACTTTAACCGAGCGGCGAACTCTGTGCTCAATATTTGACATAGATCCTGTCGGCACAATCTCCATGAAATTTGATTCCTAAAGCCCTTCTTTTTCTTCTTTTTTGTGCTTAATATGAGAACCCACCCAAATCATCAATTTCACGAATCAGGTGAACTGATCATGAGCCCTAGCAACACTTTACACGGAATTTCAACTTTCAACATGCATAGACAAGAACATTGAAGAAAAAATAACAATTTTTAAAAATTTCAGATACGAAGGGAGATCGAATTAGACAACGTTTCAGCCTTCGAGCTTTTTGAATAAGAAAACAATGAAGGGAAGAGAATAGGATAAATGATAATTGCAGTACTAACGTGTAGCCTTCTTCTCTGAGCTCCCTGATAAAGCTTCCGATGCCATTTTGCCTGATTGACTTAAACACATTCTTCACCACCGAAGCCATTTCTCTCCTTCTGCTTCCTCTCCCGACACAAATCGGCTGTCAATATCCCAGAACCAGACGCTCAGCTCCCTTGATTTGAACCGGGCCTGAGATTCCCCCGCTAAACTTGGGGGGCCTGAATGAAATCCATCTTTTATTGGGCTTTACGGCCCACTTTGTCAAACAATTATTATTTTGTAGACCATGACAAATTTATACATTTAACTATCAAGCATCTCTCTACAATCAGCTAAAATTGTTTAAAAAAGAATTTAGCTTGTTCATGAATTTAATTAAATGAGAAATTGTAAAAAATATTCATTTATAATATGTCAATTATTAATGTCATTTCTGAATTATGAGTGGTATAAATATTGTCCCTCAAAATGGTGCACATATAGCCCCTCCCATAACGGACATGTGGTTCTCCACCGCTGTCCATCGCTGGTACTTAGAATCGAGGGAGGAAAAAAATAACTAAATTACATATTTATTCCGACTTAACAGTGTCATACACTAATAGGTAACCACATTTTCGTTACGGGAGGAGTTATATGAACACTATTTTAATAATTGAGGGACAATATTTATACCACTTATAATTTAGGAGTGACATTGATAATTAACATATTATAGGATGGACATTTTTTACAATTTTTCCTTAATTAAATTGGATGATTTAATCACAAAGTAGTAATTAGTGACTAATTTGAGGCATATTCCTTTTCTTCCGAGTACACTTTCCATTCTCAACATGTGAAAGAAAAAGTTATTCCTCCGAGTACACTTTTCATTCAGTGTTATTCCAGTGTACTAGGATAAAACATAGCAGATCATATCTGTAATCATCAAATTCGGACTCGTCGCTCTCCAGAAACAGGAAGCTCTCAAGCTCCACTCGTCTCTGTCATATATCTCCTTCGTAAGCCACGCCTCTATCCGAACCAAAGCTTTTAAATTCAATATCTTCCAATTCTTTCCTTCAAATTGTTATGATATTTGCGGAATGTTTCCAAATTCAATTTTGGTTCAGTGCTGCCGCGCTCTGCATTGTGTGTTGTGGCTCCGACTCCGATTTGTATGCTGTGATGCTAATATGGCTTTTAATTTCCAAGGATTTCATGCAATTTTCGTTGTTCTTACGGTTTATTGTTTTGATTCGGGACTTGCAGTTTATAAAATGGAGGGATTGAGGGAAAGGAAGATGATGAGGTTACAAGCGTATGCTGGAATTAGTCTGATAGCTACATTGGCTGTTGCTTGTCATGCGTTTATCAGTAGAGGCCAGTTTTACCCGGCAATGGTGTATTTATCGACCTCAAAGATCAGTTTGGGGCTTCTGTTCAACATGGGGATGGTGATTATGTTCATCTTGAGAGGCTGATGAACGAGCAGTCATGGCGGGAAGTGATGGAGATTCTTTTTGCAATTACTGTCTTCCGGCAAGACTTTTCAGTTTCACTTCTGGCAATGCTCATTGCACTGCTGCTTATTAAGGCTCTGCACTGGTTGGCTCAGAAGAGGGTTGAGTATATTGAAACAACCCCAACAGTCCCCAGGTTGTCCCACGTCCACATAGTCTCCCTTCATGGGGTTTCTTCTGGTTATAGATGGTCTCTTCTTGTTTAACTGCGTAGACTATTTGGTAAAGACAAGGCAGGCTTCAGTTTCTATCTTCTTTTCATTTGAGTAAGTTCATGTCTCTGACCTATTTGATATTTTGTTTCCCATATGCTTCATGGGTTTCAATTTCTTGCTTTGAAGATGTGACCAGGAAGTAAATCAGCTTAGGTTGTCCATTGTAGACCGGCTCAACCAAGAAGGCCAATAGGCTGCTCAGTCGCTCACGCCGGGAGTTGAACTTATAACCTTGTGGTTACTGAGTGAATCGCTAGTTCAATTTGGCTAGGGTTGCCCCAGTCCTATATTTATTGAAAATGCTCATAGATCGTCTCATCAGTGTGTTTATATTATTCTTTGATATTTTTCTATTCTTTCAAATTTTCTGTATTGCTGTCCCTTTTTCGTAATGGTCCCTTTTGGTGGCTCCTCCCAGGTACATGATTCTTGCAACAACTGCCCTGTCAACTTTTTTGAAATATGTGTTTTATGTAAGTGATATGCTTATGGAAGGGCAATGGGAGAGAAAGGCTGTGTACACATTCTACTTGGAACTTATTTGAGACTTGCTCCACTTATCTATGTATCTATGCTTCTTCCTCGTGATTTTTATGTGAGTATCGCATTTTACTGTGCTGTTTATTCAAGATAAGTAGCTTTCTTTGCTTTAGGAAATTGTTTTCTGATCTGCTCATGATTGGATATTTTCCCCAGCTATTCCAATGCCCTTTCCCTATATGATTCTGTTAGAAGAGATTATGAAGTATTATTGCACTTCATTATTCAGGCTATGGCATCATATATTTATTCACTTTTTTGTTTCTTGATTTTATAGGAACTACGGTATACCACTTCACTTGATTCACGAACTTTATGAGACATTTCGCAACTTCAAGATTCGCGTTGCTGATTACATACGCTATCGAAAGATCACTTCAAATATGAATGATAGTTTCCCAGATGCTACATCTAACGAGCTCAATGCGTGAGTTGCTTGCTTGAACAAACCTATCTAGGGAGCCATTATCATTCGTAATTATTCTTATTGCATTTTATGCTTCTGCAGAAGTGATGCATGCCACTTGCATAATCTGCCGCTAGGAGATGACTACTGCTAAGAAACTTACCTGTGGCCTGTGGGCATCTTTTTCACGTTCATGGTTAGAACATCAGCACACGTGCCCTACTTGCAGAGCCCTTGTTGTACCACATGAAGATGTGACAAGAACTGTGGGATCACGAATCAATGTGCAACAAGGTGCAGCATTATATTTTTGCTATTATGATCTTGAGCTATTCTTAATTAGTTAATTTTCTACCATTCTAGGTGCGTTATAGGCTTCTTGAATTACAACCTGCATGCACTGGAAAGTTATTCTAAAATATAATCTTGCTCAGCTTGAAAGGCAGAATAGGGTATTGAGTCCATTGCTTTCTTCTAATTAGCTGAATTGTACAATATACTACATACAACTTCAGATCAAGTCACCATCTATTGATATATTGGTGATTAGAACACACAAACTATTACTTGTGTCCTTTAGGGATGGTATAATGATAATTAGATGTAGTTGCCTCTGTGTATGTGCTGTAGGAACTTATGATTTTATGTTAACCACTATTTAACAAACCTTTTGTTTACTAGGCAACAGCTGTGTAATGCTGTCAGGAAGTGACTTTGCATGATGCATGCCTCTTTATCTTTTATTTGAAGTATTTGCCTAACTTCTTGGATGGAAACAGGAACAAATGTTGAAAGCGCATCTCAGGGTTCACAAGCTGATTGCATCGGGAATGACAGTGTTAACCAGCATCAAGCTAGGATACAAGCTGTCGCCATAGCTGCTGCTTCAGTATACGAGAAATCTTTTGTCTATCCTTCAGAACCAATGCAATTGCGGTAGTTATCTATTACATGCATTTTTTTTCATCAACTGAACTCAGCTAGCTAAGTGCAAGGATTGGATTAATTCTCTCATGCTCCCATTCACAAACCTTTAGACAGCTCTGTTAGTACTGTAAACTCAGGCCAACCCCAGTCACAACTAAATCAGTTTAGAGCTACAAATGGCTCTCAATTTCCATGCTATGCTTTTGCTCCCTCCCAGCGTCGCAGTTCCAACTTGCATCGTGGACAGAATTCCGACAACTATAATTGGGATTCCCAACTCGATGCTCACAAACAACTTTTTGAACAACATATTGAGGTATGCCAATTTCTAGATATCTAGTGTTAAAATGTTGGAATTGTGATTGTCGACTCCTTTTTGTTTAGACTTTATGGAGAACTGTACAAATTGTGATAGTGGTATTAACCTGGAATTGCATAACAGATTCTGCAATACCATCTTATGCTTCTAAAGAAGTTAAATACCGAGAGGGCAGTGGATAATCCAGGAGCTTCTTCTGGCAAGGCAAAAGCAGTTTGATCATCTCCATCTATGTCTGAAATTTTCAACATGAATGTTCTTAAACCTTGCACAGCTTTAGATGTCTTGAAGCAGTCAGGAGACATAGGGTCCAGATAGCAGGAAACGGAACCCAGGAAAATGCAAGGGATACAAAACACATTGGCCTTGTTTGGTAAATGGCTGTTAGTTGATGATTGTAGGAGGTGTTTGGTAAATTAGTTGTTAGCTGATGATTGTAGGAGGTGTTTGGTAAATTAGTTGTTAGCTGTTTGGTATAATTTCTTTTCTCAAAAAGTTAATTGAAAAAGTTGCTTTGAACAGCTTTTTGAATTTTAGCATTTTGGAGTTGATTTTTTAACCAAATCAAACAATTAATAGTGGTCAAATAAGCCAAAATTGGCTGATAGGCTAATATTTTAGCAAATAGGCCAATTATCTATTTCTAGTGCTGGTATTTTATGCACTACCGATGTAAAGTTGTAAACTGCAATTCACATATTTCAATTCTAAGATTTGGCCGTTCTTAGTCACCATCAAGTATATGTGGACAGGCATGATTTGATTAGATTCAATTAATTCAAGACACATGGTGGAACTGTAGTACACTGGTCACTGAAAAATAGAACAAAGCAATTATTCTAAGTTGTGGCTTGCTGATACCATAAAGGGAAGGCATAGGGGGTGAGGAGTGGATAGTTAGCCTATGAAGATACAAAAACTTCAAGATTTTTATCGCTCTTATGCAGAACAGCCTTTCCCTTTCATCGTAACCCAAACTGATAAATGTACAAGTCAGCCAGGAAGCTTGAGGCTTTCATTGCTCTTCCAGCTGAAGACAGAGAATGGCAAGTTGTTGGTATACATCAATGTAGAAACCATAATGCATTTTAGTACAGAAAATTGGCCAGTCATTAGTATAGATCAATGTAGAATACCGCATTTAAGTGGTCAAGGGTCTAACTCAAACTCATCATGCCCAGTGTTCACACTTCCATAAAAGGCTAGAAGCAAAGAGACAAAGAGTGCCTTATCCAACAAAGGCCCTTTACTTCTTTTTCCCCACCTTTTATTTGGGATTTTTTAAATTTGTGTTTAAAAAACCAAGAAGAAAGGGGGGTGGAAACTGGAATGGGACGAGGGAGAACATACCTCTTTATGTAATAGTAGAAGAAGTCAGCATAAAGAGCAGTCTGAACAACGCCAGAAATCCAAGCTATGTTTGGCAAAAATAAAAAATAAAAAATAAAAAAATTCAATGAAGTTAAGACAAATTGAGGGAAAAAGTCTGCAGATAAATTATAAAAAAAAAAAAAAAAACACAATGTTGGAAAGAAGAGAATGTGACTCACGGATCCAGTGGTATTGATGATTTTCCAAAAAGAAACGATAGATCCAATTGATGATGTAAAAAGCTCGGTAAGAACTGAGACCCCAAAAAAAAAAAACAAAAAACTGTCAAGCATTCAATCATAATTAACAGGAACAGACAACAAAAGATAGAACTACTATATGTCAACCTAGTAAAAGTACATGTGATTTTATGTGAGCTATGTGAATGATCAGTGGCCAAGCTAAAGATTAAAGAAGTGAGAACACGTGAAGCTTAGATAAGTGTCATCAGGTTTGTATTCTGTAGTGCCCAATAATGTTTATCTTAAACAACAGTCTACTAATTGTGGGTGGGGAGTGGGGGAACAAATCTATAGTATGAATGATGGCATACCCAAGAAGAAATATATATCTTCCAGTCAAGTTGTCAATGTTCTTCGATCGTTGCAGTAATATCAACTGAGGTAGAATTGCTATTGCTTCAAGATACAGGGAGAAAGTCCAAAGTAACTGAAAGAAGAAGTCAGATTTCAGACAGTGTCCATAGAAAACTACAGAGTAATAATGGGACATGTATCAATGATTTTCCTGACACAAATGATTGCCCACAAATGGTAACAGGATATACACAACTAAGCTTCCTCCTGACACTTAAACCCTCCAACCACTGCTTGTTCCTATCCCACACATATTAAAGAATAAAGACCTGAATCCAAGAAGAAAGGATCAAGAGCACTTAGCAAATAAAAAACTATTACTTTTCCACAGAAGACCTTGGTAGAATAAATAGCAAGTGTCTCTTTTCAAATCTCTCATCAGTAATCTTATTTTCATCCTACTGACTATGAGGTTCCCTAGCATTGTCCCAAAATGGCTTGGAGCATAGACTCAAGCCCCACAAGTCACACACCCCTACCAAAAGGAAAAGTAGCAGATAAAATTAAATATATTGGGCACCTGAGGTATCAATAGCACATGCCTCTATTATCATACCAAAATAGCTTGGATCCGGATTCAAGCCTCACAAGTCACACACCCTTCCCAACAGGAAAAAGAATAAGATAATATAAGATGTATTGAGCTAAGGTATCAACAGCACTTACCTCCATCACAGTGAATTCATGGTTAACCAAAAGTGCCAATAGGAAACATGGTACAATCAAAAAATAGTGTCGGAAAGTATCTTGATCCTTGCTGTATGTTTGCTTGACTACTTTATGGAACCTCATGTACCAAACTATACTGAGTGAGGTTCCAATAAAGACTAGTTTCATTATAGTGTTGTAGAAAGAGTAAACTCTGGTAAATAAGTCCAGGTATCGAGTGAGAAAGACTATAACATAAAGTTCTTGAGTCTTCAATGAAATCCCTGAAACAAACATGAGACGTTTCACAGATCAAAGAGTCCAAATCCTAAATTCAAAACATTAACACAATTTTTTTTTAAATGCAAATAAATGACAGAAAACAAATGATGGAGAACACAGCAAATAAAAGTTCTTAAAATTTTATAAATATAGCATATTAATGATAAAAATGGTTAAAACCCCTTCTTCTGAAGTTTGTATGAGTTCCTGTTGTTTATAAAAATTATCACAGTATTAGTTAATTCATAGAACTGAACTTCCTGATAGTGACACATTGCAATGCCCTATATTGTATGAGCCAATTATTGCACAGTTAATATAAACTCCTTTTAGACATATATAGAATCTTGCCAATATCAAGCTCTCAGCAATAGGATATATGCACAAACAGTCATGCATGCAAGTACAGAGTAATAAATCATGGCTTAGTTCTACTATAACCACAACTCCCATCACAATATACCAGTCTGCACCGTGCACTCTCTCATTTCCAGATTTCACAGCAACACTCTCGAAATCATCTAACTACTCATTACTATTCTGCCTTTAGACCTCTTTGCCTACATTCACAGCTCATAATCAAATCAGACTATCTAATACGAACTTCTAACAACACTACTGATCATGCACAGCAAATTGACAACTATATACTAGCCACCTTTTTTTTTTTTTTTTTGCAAATATCCATAACCGATTTTGAAATTAATCGTCTACGATTTTCATAATTTCTAGAATTTCGCTTCTAAACACGGAAAGAAACGAACAAAGAAAAGCAAAACACCAGAAAAATTAAAAATAAAAAGAGTAAAATATGCGTACCTGCGCAGGATTTCTTAGTACGAATTTTGAGGAGGAGCACTATGATGCTGAGGAGGTGGGTCATGTCGCCGGCTAACCGGAAAATGTTCATTTTGCTCTGAATGTTTTTCGCCTAGCAGTTTTAAGTTTTGAGTTGCAGAAATGGAAGCTCAATTTTGGGCTTTTGCGGTTTTGCTTGTGCTGCGACTCCTGCGAGGGGTTTTTTTAAAGCGTTATAGCCACGGATAGCGGTTAGCTGCACGCGCCACACTGGCAAGTGGTCGGTTGACTTACGGTCTTCGTCATTAACTCTTGCCGTGGTAGATGAGGTGGGCCGCCATGCAGCCCATGGGCGTTTAAGTTCGCCCGGAAAGATAAGGTGGGCCTCATGTAGCTTTACTTAAAAGGCCCAAAACTAATAACTTATGAGCAAATTTCAATTTTGATCCTATGATTATAGGGTCTTGTTAATTTTAGTCTCTGACTTTTAAAAATATCAATTTAGTACTTTAACTATGCAATTTTTGTCAATGTTAGTCACTCCGGTCAAATTTCGTCGAAAAATTTTAATAATTAAAATAATGAGGATATTTTGGTCATTTCACGCCTCTTTTCTTCTTCTTCGGCGTGTCCATCTCTTTCTCTCCCATTTCCGGCGTTCTTTCCCCCTCTATCTTTATTCTTTAATATCATCAAGCCTCATTTTCCCATCATCTTAGTTCATTGCATTCACCAAAAACGGGAGAGGAAGGGATGGACTCGCCTGGGAAGAAGAAAAGAGACGTGAAATTATCAAAATACCCTCATTATTTTAACCATTAAAATTTTCCGACGAAATTTGACCGGCAATTTGGCTGGAGGGACCAAAATTTGCATAGTTAAGGGGTACTAAATTTACACTTTTAAAAGTCAAGGACTGAAATTAACAAGACCCCTATAGTCATATGACAAAAATTGAAATTTCATCCTTACTATTTCTTGGCAAATTATGGGCAATTTATATCGTGGTGAACGGTGCACATAGCAATGTGCGTCCAGTCACAAAATGTGCGCGTTTCATGCTGATGTCATACTAACGTCACTCTGTCCATCCGAACATACCAAACTCCATTATGTGTATTCAATTAAAAATTTATGAATATTGTGTTATCAGTTTATATGTATTCAGTTAAGAGTTTATGTGTATTGTGTTAACCAAATCCCATTATGTGTGTCTAGTCAAAAGATTATGTGTATTGTGTAATGAGTTTATGTGTATTCAGTAAGAGTTTATGTGTATTATGTTAACCAAACCACATTATGTGTATTCAGTTAAATGTTTATGTGTATTATGTATTATGTGTATTCTGTTACGAGTTTATGTGCATTCGAAATAGATAATTGTTTTTAAACAACTTAACAAAATGACGTCGTTTTGGGAGCCGCGGGGCGCACAATGCTATGTGCGCACTGGTGCACGGTATAACGATTGCAAATTATGTTGTGGAACCGTGTCCACCTTGCGAGGTGGACACAGCTCCAAAACTGTCATAATTGTGAATATAGAGTTAAAAAATTATGGACATAGAGTTCTATAATTATGAACATAAAGTTATGTAATTGTGAATATATAGTTCAATAATTGTGAATATGAAGTTCAAAAACTATGAACATAGAGTTTTATAATTATGAACATAGAGGTCAATAATTATGAAGATAGAGTTCTGTAATTGTGACTATATAGAGTTCAATAATTCTGAATATGAAATTAAAAAATTATGAACATGGAGTTTTATAATTATGAACATAGAGTTCAATAATTATGAATATAGAACCATGTCCACCTTGCAAGGTGGACACGGTTCCACGGCATAATAATTGATATTTCTTTCGGTTAGCTGCGCACTCCACATTCCATAAGGACCACACCGGCAAATCCAAATTGTTATGCCATGGACTCGGGTCCAAAACGACGTTGTTTTGCTTCAAAACGACGCCATATGAATTAAAAAATAAATTGCTTCCTTCATTGACGATTGTCTTCATAATTCGTTCCTCAATATTTATAATTTTTTAACTCTATATTTACAATTTTATAACTTTATATTCATAATTATAGAACTGAATATTCACAATTTTATATCTCAATATACAAAATTACAGGACTCAATATTCACAATTACAGAACTCAATATTCACAATTTTTAAACTATATATTCACAATTATAGAACTCTATATTTACAATTAAAGAACTCTATATTCAAATATATATATATATATATATATATATATATATATATATATATATATATATATATATATATATATATATATATCATTGGCTGAGGAAACAATGCCACTAATGACACCGTTATTCCAAACACGCGTTTTGGACATAGGTCCACCATTCAAGGCAAAATTAAGTTGCACCCACATTAAACTATCATAACACACATTAAGTTATCAAGTGTAAAATTGACGCATCTTAAGTGTTAAAATAACGCACATTAAGTATTAAAACGATGCACCTTAAGCACAAAAAATACGCACGTTAAGTTTCAACAATATGCAAAATGACCAAAATGTCACCGTGTTTTTTTTTTTAAACATTGTTCAATACAGACAATTGATTTTGACAAGATCAACAGCTATCATCCACCCGCTTTCTCCTGGATACCCCCTCCGCATTTAATCTCTATTATATATATATATATATATATATATATATATATATATATATATACACTAGTAATTGTCCCGTGCGATGCACGAACTATTATTAATTTAACAAATTTACTAATTAAAATTTTGACATCTGAATTAGCAAAGAAAGTAATAGTTGTGAAAACATAAAAATTTAATTGAGTTCTTGAGCTCATAATTAGTTTGATTAAAAATGTAAGCAATTGATTTAATAAATATACCAATAGTCAAATTAATTATAATTGAGGTTTAAATGAATATATACACAAATTATATAAAATATAAAATTTTACCTATAAATTTGAACACAATAAACTTTGTTCCATACATCATTATGTTTTAATATATATAGAGATAGAATTATAATAATAAAATATAATTTATAAAATATAAATACACATAATAACTTCAAAAAATATGTATAAATATAACTACCCACACAATTAATGCATTCATACTTGCTAATCTTGTTTCAATCAAAATGTATTCACACTTTGAAAAGAAAATTTTGTGGCTAGATTATGCTTTATTACATATAATAATATATATATATATATATATATAAATATAAATAATAATAATAATATATATAATATAATAATAATAATAATAATAATAATAATAATAATAATAATAATATAAAGATATAGTATTTTTACCATAAAGAAGCATGCATATAAAAAAGAATAATAACCAAAATTAGTTGTCACCTTAAAATAAAAAACAAAAAGATTTAGACGCGGGCCCTATTTTTCCCCTATTCTCATTCGCCTTAGCCCTATTGAGCCAGCGGGACACACGGACACACCGGTCCGGACCCGATTTTCAATTTATTTAGGTTTACTATTAAAAAAAACGTCATTCGCTCGCTCTCTCTCTATATAAAATAGGAGGGAAGGGCTATAACCAATTTCAAAGTTTCGCTCTCTCTCACTAAACTCTTCTGCTTCATTTTGAAGCTATCTTTCCTATCCTTTCTATAACTGCTTCTTCTAAACCTCACTATTTATACTCGAGGACTGGATTGCTCTTCCAACGACTGTATCGTCTTCCGTACGCTTTCTAGGGTTTGCTTGAAGTGGACTTTCGGTTCTCTAAGGGTTTATCACTCTCTGATCCTTCCATGGCGGCGGAGAAGCTTAGGGATTTGAGTCAGCCAATTGACGTGGCCTTGCTTGACGCTACTGTTAATGCTTTCTATGGCACTGGATCTAAGGAGGAGGTGATTATCATACCGTTTCTGTATCTCTTTCCCTCTCTTCGAGGTTTTTCTGTACTTTTTCATTTATTGCATTTTTCAAATTTACTGGGGTTTACCAAGTACGCGGATATAATTTTGGCTAATTAATTGGATTTTGGTTCAACTGAATCAGTTTTTTTTTTTCGTGTTGTCTGGATTCGTATGGTTTCGCGTTAAATATGCTGAACTGGTGAAAGGAGGTTTAGTACTTGGTTTGATAAGTAATGATATTATTCGCAGAACCTCTAAGGAAGGGTATAGAAGAAGCATAAGGCATTCAGGCTTTCTTATGCCTCTTTTATTTATTTATTTTGGATGCAAAAAAACGTTTCATTGCCTTAGTAACGGTTGTTTATGATATAAATTCTGAGTATGAGATGTAGGTGCTGAGTTGAAGAAACCATCCAAACATTTCAAACACCCCAAAAAAACTGCACCTAAAAACTCTAGGCTTTCCTATTTTAAACAGACAGCAATATAAGTTTTTAAAGGAATATATCAAAATTTCCTTGTAAAAAGGAAAATAATAGAGGCTAGAAAACGTGAGGAGATTAGTGCACTCATGTGTTGGGACTAGAGGATCAAACAATTCCAAAAAAATTGACTTTATATATAGCAATAATTGAAATTCTTTAATTTTATCCCAAAAAGTTTCACTGATGGCCTACTCTGTTAAAATGGATATAATATAATAATGCAGTAATAAATTATAACTTATTTTGTAAATGGCCCTGTGATGTTTTTGAATTTTCCTATCAAGTTATGAGCCCTTAGGTTCTGACATCATTCACCAAGTCCTTATTTTCCAAGGTTTTTCTGCTGTCCTGAATTGTAACCCATCCAACTACGAAGTTAGCTGGATGTCATAATTTTTTGCAGCTTTCTGATGTTGCTAAATTACAACAAACTAGGTGCCTTAATTTTTTGAGCTTAACTGATTTGGGTGGGGAAGAAGGGAGGATCCTTTGAGGTCTTAGAAGAACTGCAGGCTGGCTAGGAATATTTCACACTAGAAATTCGTTACAGCTGCACATTGCTAGCAAAGCAGCTTAAAATTGAAATAAGAGTGAATGTGGCCTTGAGAGGTACCTCAAAGAACATCTCTAAGTGTTTGTGTTCTCAAGTCGATGAATGTGTTTGTAGTGCTATATTTGCTACCCTCATTTTCTCATCTTACTAGATAGGATTTGGTTTGGTTGGGGGGTGGGGAAGAAGGGAAGATCCTTTGAGGTCTTAGAGGAACTGCAGTGCTGGCAAGGATCATTTCACACTAGAAATTCTTTATAGCTGTACAATG